TCACCCCTAACCCTAACGGATATCCACTGTGGCACATGGGACCACTCACTTAAAGTGCCAGGTAAGTTATTCAATTATTTTTTAATTAATCAATTGTTTTTGCTTTTATTTTGGATAGTGTAATTATGGCTGCCGCTGCCGCTAATTTCACCATCACCACCGTAGCTACCATTGCCACCAACGCTACAGCCACCATACTTAGCTGCCATTGCCACCAACGCTACTGCTACCGCCGCTACTTTTACTGCCACTATGCCATAAATTATGAGTGCTTCAGTGTCCAAATCATCTTTGTTCTCCTCTTCAATAATCATAGCGAATCGTTTCGGGTCGGGTATATTTGGACCCATTGTAGATTTAGGGCGTGGTGGCAGCCCATTGTAGAGGGGATGGTGGGAAAGAGGGATGAGAAAAGGGAGGAGAAGGTGGGAAAGCCTTATTTTATCTCCACCAATTCGAAGATTTAAAAAGAAGAAGAAGACCCATTAGTGGTAACAACAAAACCATAAACATTAGCATTATTATTACCATTGAGATTGTTGGTGGGTAGCGGTGGCTTGATTTTTCTTGCACTTAACTATTATTCTGCATTCTGATTTTGCTGCAAGTCGATAATCAGCTCTTCAGGCTTGATTGTCTTTTCCGCTCAATTTTTTCGGCGAATTTCAACGTTCTTTCTTTCTGATCTTGCGTGAATGTAGTAGAATTGAGAAGAGAGTAGTAACAGGTTTGGGAAAGTTCTGTACAAGTGAGAGAGAGAGAATGCTCTTTCTGCTTTTTGTGTAGAATCAATTAGAAAATAATTGATTTACTGACGTGGCAATTTAAATGAATGGTCCCATGTGCCACATTGGATATCCGTTAGGGTTAGGGGTGATTTTGTTTACTTTGTTAACGGTAAGGTTATGACGAAAAGTATAACGGAGGATAGATGTAAACTATTTATCATAGTACAAGGGTAAATTTGGACCTTTTCCCTTAATTGTTTATGGTGGCCTCATGAGTTTCACATAAGATTTGCTATAATAATAGTTTTGTGCTCCATCTTGGATTGAATAGCTGTGGTGCTTCACACTTCTTTTGTTAGTTGAAATGTCTAAGGTCATGATGCATGATAAGTATATTATTTGTGTTTGATTTTTTTTATCCACCTGTCTTTCTAGTTATATTTCATCTAGTTGGTCTGCTAACACATAATAGGGAAAAGGCATAATATGTTCTTCGGAGTAACTCTGGGGTCCTTCATATTGTTTACTGGAATAATGGAAAGATATTTTTGGAGCAAGTTTTGGGGAGATAATGGAAAATTTTGACTTACACTGATGCTTATGTTCTACTCTGGAATATATGGATACCTATTAGCAAATATATCTCCACGCACCATCTTGCAGTAGTGAATTGTGTCCCTGCACATTAACGAAGATAATGTCATGAATGGTCATTCTTACATGGTGGCTCTGCAAATTGCAAGATCGCAAAGTTTTGATTTGGAGCTCTTCTATGGAAACTTGCTGTTTCATTAACAAAATATTAAATACTTTACATTTCTTTCCCTCTTAACAGAAACTATTAAGTATCTTTTGTTTCTTTCCTTCTTACCAAAAGACATTTAGACTATTACCTGATACTATTTCTGATCAGGATGATCTAATTCTATTTCTAAGCAAGCGTGCTGTCAATTTTGCCTGTGAATTCCAATTTTTGAGGAAATGTTGATAAACTGTGATAATAACATCTTTGCCCTGTTAGCAAGAAAGAAGGATCTGCTATTGACTGAATCAGAAAGGATAACCTTGAGCGGATCTTAGTAGGCATCTGTTAAACTGAAAATACAGCACCAACATGAGAAGAATGTACTCTTTCCATCCCAAAATTGAATGTCGACCTTTCAGTTTGGTCCAAATTCAAAGTGAAGTCCACTTTGCTGCAAATGCTATAAATTATACATCCTAGGTTATCATTCAACTAGAAGATAATAGAACCACTGAAAACAACTCTTTGGCAGATTTAAGAGAGAAAAAAGAAGCTAAAAGAAGCACACGCTTTGTAGTTTATATAGGCGCCCAACCAAAGTACAATATTCCTCGGTTTTGGCTCTTTATACTCTTGTCAATTTTCCCCACTTAATGTTGACAAGAAAATGATCTTGTAACCATCCCAAAAAATCAAAAGCTCTCATTATTAAAGTACCATAAGCAGGATTAGATAAAAGAAGCAAAAAGAATTCTAATGCATTTATGTAGGCTATTTTAAATGTGAAGTCACCTTACATCTCTGGATCTAGAGTATGCAATTCAATCCTTCATCCGTGAAGTAATTTCATGGAAATAAAAGATCCCCTTGGGTAACTTTGCATAATTGGAACAAGCATGTGATGATAAACTTGCAGTTTACACATGAATATTATATAAATACAATTACAACAAGAGCTGTAGATCAAATAAAAGACTGAGCAAATACTCCATTGAGCTATTTAGATGGCTAGTGAAGACAAAAAGAAAACTTTTTTTCATTATTTAGACTGCTAGTTGAGCCAAAAAAAGAAAAACTGTATTCATTGTGAAATTAAAGGTCATACGAACTTTTGAATGAAGCTTGGCAAATAAACTTTCTGAAAAGATGAATAAGGAATGTGAATTTTCTTCTGGATGGGTTAACTATTTAAGTGACTTGATCCAGCTGTATGAAAATTAAATGATATCACTTATCTGGCGGAATGTCTTTCTTGTAGTCTTTGTATGAATAGGTATCGGTCATTGGTTCAGGGTCTGCAGAAAAGCATAAAGTTACAAGAGAAGTTTTCAGCCAGAAAAAAGAATTTTTTTCCCAGGTATTGGCTTGTAATTTTGAGTTCCTCCATGTAACCAAAAATGGTAATCTAAGTTTGTGGTTACTACTGTTTGAACAATTGTCCATCTTCTTAAATACTCTCCCAAGCTCATAATCTTTACTCTGTCCTCTTCTTACTCTGTGTACTGCCCATAGGACCATTTGTGTTCATCCCGTCTGACCTTATACTCTTCAATTAATCTTTCAAGAAACACTCCTCAACTTGAAGAAAATGGGGGAGAGGGAGGGAGAGAGAGATGGCAACGAGAAAATACAAACCATAAACTAATTTAAAATTTTGATAAGGAACTCCATGGTGGATCAATTAATCTGGAAGAACATCCCCGTGGTGCATATTTAATCTCCTATAATTAACAAGCTTAATTCCAAGATGATCATCTCTAGGATGATAATAGCAGGAAATAATCGACAAGAAAAATGAAAAGTTTCAGAGAGTGTCTCCCTTTTTCTTCGCTATTTAGATTCTGTTTCTCCAAGACTTTACTTGTTCATCTTTGTTTGAGGACTTCTTTGCCCTATTCTTACAAAATTGAATTAACCAAGAAAGGTGAAAAGAGGAAACAAGAGGAAAGGAAAGAAATGTGACATGAATATAGCCTAAAGAAATAAATAGGAGAAGAAAAAGGAAAGAGAGAATAACTAGGTTACCACATCAGAAATGAGCCGTTATTTTTCAAGCTGTCTACTTTTTTTTTTTCAAGCTGTCTACTTGATTGTTCTTGCAAAGAGTGAAAGTTACATTCTGAAGCTTGGTATAAGCTGATTGTTTGTATTTTCTCTCTTATTCTGATCAAGCCTTTTTGTCAATTAGGTCATAATCTGAGATGATATTATCTGTGCTGAATTACCACAATTTCTTTGTCAAATTTTTTTTTCTCTTCCCCTTCTTCCTCTTCTCACTCTTTCTAAGCCGAGGATCTATTGGAAACGGCCTCTCTACCTTCACTAGGTAGGGTAAGGTTTGCGTACGCAATACCCTCCCCGGACCCCGCTTGTGCGAATATACTGGGTTTGTTGTTGTTGTTGTTGTCGTCTTTGTGGAGAGGGCTAGAGGGGAAGGCCCATTATCCGCCGAGTTTTGAACTGTGCGCCAGCTGGCCCTTGGGGATTTCTCAGTTATAAAAAGAATTACCGTAATTTTTTTTTCTTATGGGTGAATTAAATCAAATGCAACTTTTATCCACTGGTTGTGATTTGTGTTAAAACTTGTAAGTATTTTGTTTGATCCTTATTCTTATAGAACTTAATCAGAAGTTATCTGAAGCCCCATTTTTCTTGGGAAAAAACTGGAGGGAGGAAGGGAATTAAGGATTAAATATTTTCCTTAATTAGTTTTAAGAAAATTTCCCAGAATACCTCACTTTCCATGTGACATTGTTTTGAATGCATATACAAATTAGTCCGAGATATCTATATGTGTATAAAACATTAAGTATGCTGCCTATTTCATCTTGTAACCTAACTATCCGGGAATTAGTCCGCCCAATTCCCCGAGCAAAGTCTCCTAAAATCCACCTGTTTCTGCTGCCATCATCCCATTTGTCAAAAGCGACGGCACTTGTTAGCAGACCTCACATCTGTTGTAAGTTCTCTTCTTTCTTGGGCGATAAAAACAATGTGTTTCACGAAGCACCCTCGAAGTATTCACTTAATTTATAAGCCTCTTCTGTAGAAGTACAAGAACTTGTGTTGTAGGGGTAAAAAAACATTTGATTTATGTTGCAACTGATCTCATTTATTCTATGGTAAATCTCTTTCTTTATTGCATCTGCAATTGGTAAAATATGACTGAATCAATTCTTTTCCTTTCTCGTTATTTATATCATAGTTAGGTTGTGTTCTATTGATAATCGTTTGCACCGATGTAACTGTTAATTCTGCTTTATAGATGATCATAGGGGTAAAAAATTTATACTCAACTGTGTGCATGACTCTCTGCCTTAGTTTCGCCCTTTATCTCTGCAGAATCTAGTCATAGTCTATTTTGTATCTTTTCTGTGCTCCTCTTAATTGAATGAGCAAAATCGTACTGGATCTGTAAGTTTGTGAGCTATTAAGATTGCCAATCTGCTAAATGTAGAAATTGCATTCATCAGCTTGCTTCATATGTACCAGATTAATCCTGTGATATCCTAGATTTGTGCGGATCAATGCAAGTTAATCACCAACAAAGCAATTCCCCTAACCAGGGCTCAGGGGATTTGCAGCATGCTCTGGAAGGTGCCGCATCCTTTGGCTTTAGCAACATGCATGACATGAACCAACAAGTGTTGTCTCTAGATGCTATCGAAACCAGTAGACTTAATGTGTATGAAGCTTATAATGAGAGGTCAGATGATGTAGAAGAAGTCACTGTACGTCGTGAAGAGAAACCGCCAGTTGTGTATCGGCGTACAAGATGGAAGATGAATAAAGAGAAACAGCCTGTTGTATACAGTCGTATGAAATGGACGGATGAGATGGTTAAGCTTTTGATCACTGCTGTTTCTTACATCGGAGAAGATGTTTGGTCCAATGGGATATTCCCAAAGAAAGGTAAATGGAGGGCTATTTCCAATGCTATGGCTGAAAGAGGTCATCATGTCTCACCTCAGCAGTGTGAGGATAAGTTTAATGATCTGAACAAAAAGTTCAAGAGACTGAATGATATTCTTGGGAGAGGCACTGCATGTTGTGTTGTGGAGAACCCTGGCCTTATGGAAATGATGGACCTGACTCATGATGCGCAGGAGGAAGTGAAGAAGCTTTTAAGTAGCAAACAGTTGTTCTATCAAGAATTGTGTTCATACAACAACCAAAATAGATTATTCCTTCCAGATGATCGGGAACTCCAGCAATCCGTGCTGTTGTCTCTCAAACGTAAGGACAGGTATGAGCCTGAATATGTCGTGCAGGATATGCCTGCAAAGAGAAAGATAGTCGGGGAAGAAAGAATTTCCAGTGTGATCTGTGCATTCATTAATTCAGATTGTAATGTGCTTAATCCTAACAGCAATGGGATTCATGATTATACTAACAATGATGAGGCAGAGACATTGCAGAATGAGCAGCAGATTATGCATCAGTTACTGCAGTTGGAAGAACAGAAGTTACAAATTCAGGCCCAAATTCTGGAACTGGAGAAGCAGAGAGTCAAGTGCATGAGGTTCCGCCGGAGAGAAGACAGGGAGCTACAAGAACTGAAGCTGGAAAATAAGGCTATGATGCTTGAGAATAAGCGCATGGAGCTTCAGCTCAAGCGCTGTGAAACAAGTCTTCAGACTGAATAATCTATCAGCATATGTTTTAGCAAGGCGCCACATGCTGCAGTATACGCAGTCTGTAATTTTCTTTCTATTAGTAAGCCCTCGCCTGTTACCCTTACAACGTACCTTTTGTCTCCTGCTTCCTGTTTGCTTTCTTTTGGTGTAAGACGCAAAGTTGTAACTTTCATGGTGTAAGACGCAAAGTCGTAATATTTATCCTGTTGGCACTTCGTTGGGTGTTTGCTACATGAAATCTTTAATTTTATTGTGTTCCTCATTTCTACCTTTGCACTTGGTTTAAAAAAAAAAAGGGCCGGTCCGGTGCACTAAGCTCCCGCTATATGCGGGGTCGGGGGAATGGCCGGACCACAATTTTCTAGTATACGCAGCTTTACCCTGCATTTCTGAAAGAGGCTGTTTCCCCGGTTTGAACCCGTGACCTGCTAGTCATATGGCATCAACTTTATTAGTTACCTTTGCACATGGTATTTGGAAAAATTTCGGAAATCCTTGTATCTCTGCGTATATCTCATTAAAGTTGTCAAAGGGTGGCTGAAGTATCAGAGGGTTTCCAGCATGTACCATTTGCTGCCTGCAATATTTGAACTATAAGCAAATTTGTCTTGAGAAGACATTTTTTGTTTCTTATCACATTGAAGGCTATGTTGCTCGGACTCTCCGAAAATGTTGGTGGGTGCGTGTCAGATCCTTCAAAATAGTGCATTTTTGGAGGATCCGACACGGGTGCGGCACCATTTTGGAGGGTCCGCGCAACATAGATCGAAGGATGCTAGTATCTAAATTGATGTTTGTTCTTTTGATGTAGATTTTCTTTTAACCTTGTTAATCATTCCTCTTTTTGCTATGTGATTCTTGCATTTCCTTCTTGAGAACTGTTGGTCATAGCGGAGCCACATCTGGCTAGAGTGCTCTTTTAATATGTGAACATTGTTTTCTTAACTACTCAGTTTTACTTATTTTTTTGTTTTTTTTCAAGAATATTGAAAAATATTAAAGTCAACCAAATATGGGAAAATTTGAAATTCCTTCCTACCAAACACACCCGGAGGGCCATTAGTTTCTAATTTCTGCTCACCCTCGAAGCCTTCGCTTAGCATGTAAGAAATGACAGATGCATCCTGCGCATGGACTCTACTTGAAATTCTAGCTCTCCTATTTCTTCTCAACTAACATCACAATCAGGTCATTTATAATTTATGATTTAGTTGTTTGAGTAATCATTAATTGGTAATTTGAAAAACAGTTTTGTTCCATTTCACCACATTTGAGCTTGCCTCTGAAGACATCAACAAATAATGTTAGGCATTTTATTTTATTAAGAAGAAGAGGGTTGTGCAACAGCTGCATCTGATACTGGAAGCTCCTCATCCTTTGATTCTTTGGTTTCAGCATTGCTGTCTGAGCTCTTCTCATCTTTAGCTGACTCCTTGGCTGCTTCACTCTGTTGCATTCATGTTTCAAAGTAATCAATCATAAACAAGTCTTGCTTTTAGGGGTGGAGTTAGGGGTTCGGACCAACCCACTAACTTTTACTCAGATCTTGTATTTATATTAAGAAATACAATAAATATGTATGAATTATATTAATTGTGAATCAAGAAATTAAGACGTGCTATGAGTTCAGTGGCAAGTTCAGAACCCATAAACTATTGCAAACCGTGCTGGAGGTAGATGCAGTAGTTGAACAAATAGTACGACTGCAGCCATTACTCTTAGATTGATCCAGGGGCGAAGCTATGTTGGCCCAAGGGTGGTCAACTGACCACTCTTCGCAGAAAAATTATACTACGTATAGACTTGTTATTGATTAAGAATAGACTTTAAACACCCTTATTAAATTTCCTAGCTTCGCTACTGGATTAATCCATATATGTACGATTTTTTGAAAGCATATATTTACATTAAGTTCAACACCTACTGTCAAAAAAGCGGATGTAGTATTCTGACTACATTTAAACCTAACCCAATATTTTTGACACACTATATATATATATATAGTTGACAATATGACTTTTGTGCCTGACGGCAACTCGGATCTTATGTTCTTTAGATGCCCAGCTTATTGTCTGGCTGTAAAAGGAAGAGGTCTTCCTTTCTTATGAACTTTTTCTTACTTGGACCATTCCATTTCTCGATTCCCTCGATTGGCTGCTTTCTTTAATGGAGGACATTCCTCTTTCGGCGGAGACGTTGGAAGGGGTGTTAGCTCTGTGACAGAACCAAGTCTTCCCGCGGCTGAAGAAGATCCAGGGGATCCTGAACCTGATGAGACATCCGTCTCAGGCGAACCAAACTCTCGAACCCGTCCAGAAGTTGAGGATGCAACTTACGATTTAATCGGTTAAAAAAAAGGTTTAGCCATAAAGATTCCGGTTGAAGAGAGTTCTAACGTGGGGGGCGACGGCATATAATTACCTTAAAAGGGGGTGCCCTCCCTGATATATATATATATATATATATATATATATATATATATATATATATATATATATATATATATATATATATATATATGATTTTTTTTTAAAAATATTAAATTTTGAACTCATAATTTATTCGGTTAAATAAGTTCAGTGCTAAATCCTCAAGTTGAACCTATCAAACTAAAAATTCTGATCTGCATCCATCAACTTAAATTCTGCTTTATATGTTTCGTGTTTGTTGTCAAAGTACAGTATATAATTAGGAAGGGTTGAGGGGAGATTTTTAATTGGGAAATAGTTTTTTGAATCTTAGTAGTATGTTGTTCCAACTCATTGATCGTTTTCCATGTTTCCCATCAACAATATATACTTAGAAGAACATATATAATTATGTAACCCATTAGGGCAGCCCGGTGCACTAAGCTCCCGCTATGCGCGAGGTCCCAAAAAGAACCGGACCCTAAGGGTCTATTATACGCAGCCTTACCCTACATTTCTATTCCACGGCTAGAACCATGACCTCTTGGTCACATGACATCAATTATGTAACCCATTAAATACCTAATTTAAATTATATACACCTAACAATTTTTATATACTATTTCTCAATTTTAATTAAGCTCTGATAGCAAACTAGCTGGAAATCATTTTAATTTTTGGGTCACCAATTAATGATTGAGATTTACTTATATTCAACTTATAATTAACCTGATTATATTAATATATATTTTTTATATTTTTAAACATAGAATTTAAAATCGTAAATACCTCATTGAGCAAAGATCCTAGAGATTGGTGCTTGTCGTCAGCACCTTTCTCTTCAGCCACCTTCTTATCCTCCTTTGGCTCGGCATTGTCACTACCTTCTGTCACCTCCACCACCTCAGGCGCGGTGGTGGTGGTGGCAGTGGTGGTGTTCTCCTCCTTCGGTTGCTCCGGTGGAGGAGCTGCCATTGCCTCAGCCCTCATGCCCTTTGGTACACTAGCACAAGCCCCCATAATTTTTTTTTTCTTTTTTAACTTGTTTTTGTCTTAGCAATTAATTAAATGAGGCTTGAAACCTTGTCTTTCTTCCTCTCACAAACTTAAATGTAATGTTTGTGAGAGAAAGAAAGATGGAATAATGCCAAAGAGAGAAAGAAGATGACTCTCAAGTAATTTGCAAGGAAGTGAATATATATGGGATTGAAAATAAATTAAACTTGGCCTTTGTGGTATTTAATTTCCGATTTTCTATCTCAGACACAGAAAATATTAAGGGAAGTGAATGGTCTCAATAAAAAATGTCCATGTTAATTTGTCCAATGAATTAGTAAATCACATCATCAATAGGCCAATGACTTTCAGTATATGTTTGGACCCATCATCATTTTGTTAACGGGAAATTAGGAGAAGGTTACGTGTGGGTTTGCATGCACTTCTAGGTTCGATCTTCGAGTATTTCTCCCTTGAGAAGTAATGTAAAAAATTACCTAAGGGATTGATCTTTAAATATTGTTTTTGTTTTTTTACTTTATTACAAAAATATGTTTTTTTTCACCAAGAATATCAGAGTTCTTCAATATTATAAGCTTGAAATTCTTGTTTGGTGATAAAATCTAATAGTTAATGATTGATTATTATTAAAATCGTTTGAATTAATCATTTATGCTTAAATTTTTAGTTCAAATAATATTTTGGTGATTTACTTGAAATTTTAAAGTTGAGATCGTTCTAGATTTGGGATGGTTTGTGTTTACCTCGAAAATACGAGTAACAATTAAACTTATTTGTGGTTTTAAAGATATGTGAGTTAGTTCAATACTAATTAATAACCAAGAATCCGAAGTATAAATAAAAGAAGTAAGTTGAATCAAGCCAGTGTTCAAGCCAATCTTGACCTCGAGCTACAAGGGCCTCGAGGTTGGTCAGTAGGAACAGTAAAGTAAAGACAATAAAATTAAGAGACAATTCTGATGAAATATGAGCAAGAAAGTGAGAGAGTATATTCTTTGCTAATGATTGATGATGGTTACAAATGATTGGGGTCCCCTTTATATAATAGGGGAACCCTAAATAAGGTACATTTCTATTTACAGTAAAGAATCTTATTGGGGCAGCTGTATAAACACCTAGTACGGCTATTTCGGAATTTACGCCATGATCTTGGGGACGTGGAGAGAATCTTGCTCTTTCTGTTACAAACCCATAACGGCATCATCTCGGGGTTGGTCATAATCGGCTCCGGTACTCATCATGCACTTCGATCTTCAAGCCTTGTGTTCTGTCGTCGGGCTCGAACCCGGCCCATACTGAATCTATTCCTCGATGCGAGCCCTCTATTCCTCGATACAAGCCCTCTATTCCTCGATGCGGGCCCTCGAGCCCACAAAATCGGGGACACATGATTTTAACGTATACAGATAGTCCCCGCGTTTTTTATAGTAAAATGATAAGAAACGATTTGAACCTCGATTTTTTGGAGTCCTTGATGATGACGTCATTCCCGTGACGTAGGCGCTCGAAGTGACCGAAATGTCACGTCGGTTCGCTTCCCCAAAATATTAAATGCTTCTCCAATGGTGGTCGGCCACAAGTGTTGTTGAACCGTCACCGCTCGCCTATAAATAAAGGTTTAATTTCGGAGAAATCTTTACTTCAATCTTCAAACCACCTCTAAACTTCTTCTATATCTTCTTCTCTTCATCTTTTTTCTCTCATTATTCACTACTCCCGTTCCTCTTAGTGTTAGAAAATACCAAACTCCGCCTATCTCCACTTCTTCTAACTCGAATTAATGGCGAAAACTTCAAAGATAGTTCCCCAAAAAGAGAAAGCTTCCTCCTCCTCTTCCCGGCCGGCCAAACTTGTGGCGCCGGCCTTTCACGAGATTATTCCCGGCCCCTGCGTGATAAAAAAAGACTTCGACGTTGAAAATCCCCCCGCAATCCCAGGCCGATGCGAGCATGTATCCCGATATATTAGTTCGATAACGAAGAAGCATCTCAAGGCCATGAAGAAAGACTGTGGCTGGGGGGACGAGGTCGTGGTACAGATCCCCGACCCCGAGGAGAGCATTACTACTCATGTGGAGGGGTTCTTAAGTTTTTACACTTACCCCTTCACACTAGGTCCCCTTGATCCAGTCGTGATTGAATTTTGCAAATGATATGAAGTTACCCTTGGTCGGATCCATCCCTCTTTCTGGTATATCTTGATTTTGCTGCGCTACTTCTCTAGCAAGGCCGAGAGATTAGAGTTTACCCTCAACCACCTCATTCGACTGTATCGGCCTCAGCTTTTTCGAGGGTTGATCAAGCTTCAACGTCGATCAAGCAAAACCTTCTTTGCTAGCAATGACGAGGATAAGAATCGAGGCTGGATGAGTTGGTTCGTCCGAGTGAGGACCTTGGACGTCATCCCTGAGGGAAAAATGCCGTTCCCGGAGAAATGGAATCCCAATCGTAAGTGAAGTCCCTTTCCCAATATCTCCTTATACTCCGTTCCTGCCTTTTGTAATGCCTTTACCTTTTTTGCAGCTGTCGCTTGGATTGCCGATACGATCCTTGACCTCGAAGACTGGGTCCGGAAACTAGCCCGACCTCCTCGTATGATGAGCGCAAATGGCGTGACTTGTCGAGGGGCAAATAGGAAGCCAAGCACCAAGGTTAGTTCTTCTCCCAAGTTTTTGATACTTTCTCTTTTATTGGAGATGTTATCTCACTTATGATTATTTTTCACTATTGAGGGCATCGAAGATGTCTCCGAGATAAGGCCAGCCCCGCCCGGGGAAGAGACCGAGTCCTCGATCAAAAAATCGGGGAAATATAACAAGAGGAAAAGGGATTCGAAGCCTGAAGACCCCCAAGACAAGAAAGCCCCTGCTCGAAGGCAGAGGAGGAAACATATTCACGTGGACATAGACTCAATCCACCAACTGAATGACGAAGAAGAGGACGAGGGCGAAGAGTCGGCGTTGGTGACCCGAACCAGGAAGCTAACTGAGGCCGTCAAATCTTCTGAACTGGAAATCCTGCCTCATGAAGAGGAGGCTCCCAAGAAAAATGCGGGCAAGGCCCCGGAGTCCCCTAAGATCGAGATTATTCCCCCTCCTTCAACAAGTACACCGAAGGGGGCAAGTACTGAAAACCCTGAGGTTGAACAGAGCGCCCCGAGCGACTTGCTCGGGGCCATGACAATAGGTCACTCCCCTCCTCTACCATCTTATTCTGAGGAGGCAATAAAGGATGCTCAAGCTCTGCAAACGCCCGACCTGAACAGGGTCCTTGAAGAAGATCCTTTCCGAGATTTCTTTACTGGGGTCAATGATGTCGCCGATCTCAATGATGCATCTACCCTCTTTGAAGAGGCTCATCTTCTCTTCTCTCGGGTAAACACTAACTCTTATTGTTGCAAATTTTTTCTTCTCCTTCTGCATTAACTGACATCTCTTTTTTCTGTGTAGGCCATTACCAAGTTTAGGGCCGAGCTGAGCCAATGTGAGGCTGAGCTTAAGAGATCCTTGGATGAAGAGAAGGCTATGAGGCTCCTTTGCAGCCAAAAAAAGGAGGAGCTCAAGGAACTCCGGGCATATTTGGCCAAAGCTCGTCAAAATGAGGTCGAGCTAGACAAGCAGGTAACCATCATTTTGCAGAAGTATGGTCTAGTTGACCCAAATATGGAGGCTAACACTTCAGTGTCTCAGCTGCAGCAAAAATTGGATATGATCGGGCAGCTTCGAGGGGAGGTCGATCAAGTTAAGGTCGACTGCAACCAGTGGAAGGAAAACATGGGTCGACTTGCTGGTGAGAAAGAGGCTGCCCTAGCCAACCTGGCCTCGGCTGAGACTCAGCTCCGGGGAGTCAAAGTAAAAAATCTGGCCCAGTCCAAGAAGATCAATGAGCTCGAGGCCAAACTTGCCGTAATCGGGGCTAAGGTTGCTGAAACCAGGGGTGAGGTCGAGAGGATGAAGGCCACGGCTGAGAAGACTATTGTTGTGTACCTAAAGGATGTCGAGGCTGCTCAAATGGAATTAAGGGAAGCCTCCAACCGGGAGAAACAGGTCAGTGATTAGGCCAAGTGTCAATCCCGGAGAGAGACCCTCGAAGAGATCTATGCTCGAGGTTTCGACCTCACCGAGGAGATAGCCCAAGCAAAAGCACTCGAGGACGATGACAAGTTCCTCGTCTCCTCCTCCGACGATGACGATGATGAAGGCAGCCAGAGCGGGTCCGATGATGAAGCTGGGCCCGAAGGAGAAGCTGCTCCCGAAGGAGAGACCAGTCCTAGGCATAGATAAGATTTTCCTTTCTTATTGTATCGTTCTTTTTTGTAAGACCTTTTGTCGGTCCCTTGTATATATCTTTTTCACCATATATAAAAGAAGAATTTTGATATTTCCTGCCTTGTAAAATTCTTGCAATGACTTCATCCTCTTTATCTGCTGTTAGAGATTTTATCTCAGATGTTTTCTTTGAAACTGCCATGGTCGAGCTCGAATAACTTCGAGCTTTTGGGTATACACCTTTACGGGCTCATAGCGGGTAATGGTGAGTCCCCGAGCCATGATCAAACCATTATTTGTTTAGGTTGGGATAATAGAACCCTTGGGTTCGAATTGAGTGAGAGCGAGGTCTCGAACTCTAATTGTATTGACATTTTAGGCTTATTAAATCAGCCCTTAGGCTCTTTTATATCGGCCCTTAGGCTAATTTTTGTTGGCCCTTAGGCTCTTTTTAGGTTGGCCCTTAGGCTCTTTAAGTTGGGCCAATTCGGCCTCTATAGCGGCTACAATTTTTCCCTCTTTTCGGCTGAAAGACTTAGTGAAAATTTCTTTATGCCTTAGCATGTATTTTTGTCCGCGTTGTGTTTTTTGAGGGTTCAATCGATCAGAACCCAATTTTTTCTTAACCCGTTTGTGTTAAGACAATTTAATACCTCTTGAGGCTTTTTCGAAGGTTGATATTATCGAAGCCCTTAAATTATTTGAGGACTGATTTTATCGAAGCCCTTTTTTATTTGCTTTGCCGAGGGTAGCCTTATTTAATCGGTTTTTCAAAGTATTTGAAGGACTTTAACTTATGGCAGAAGTCGGACGTCTCCGAGCTGCATTATTTCAGCCGTAGCCTTTTTACATGACCATAGTCTTTAATATGGCCGTAGCCTTCGGGTGTGTCTCT